TCTTTCCCTCATGGAAACTCATTTTTTAAACTACTATATTGCTTATACCACCCACTACCCTTCCCAAAATGTAATCGCAACTTAAACTTGCAAATCTAGTTGGTCCATATCTCCAATAAATTTTATACATCATACAAAATGTAACAAACTCAGTAGTAACACATAAAACACAAATTACAAAGTTTGAAACTTGATAGGGGGCTTTGAAAACGTGGTGAATCATAGGTCCTTCTACTTCAGTGAGCATCAGAAATGCTTAAGCCTATTAAAACACTGATTCCTGGGCCTCACACCAGTTTCCCGTTCAGTGGATCTGGAGTGGGTTGGAGAATTTGCATTTTTAACATGTACCAGGTGATGATGATCTGCTGGCCTGGAGACCACACGTTAAGAACCACTGGGATATATTAAAGTCATAGATACATGAGAGACTTGTGGCATACAGGTACGCAGAACAAAGATAAAAGTTATTAAACACTAAAATGTGACAACAGAAAAGAATGAGAAAAAATGATGAGACAAGAAACTCTGATTTCATCAAAGCAGCAGGGAGGTATGCCAACACTGATCAATCAGAAGGGAGAGCAACTAGAGGCCTGGTGCAGGGTCCTAGAGCTCTTGGCTGGGCTGGAAGTGAGCCCTCCGCTTCTAGACAGGCAACAGGGCAGTCTGGGGTTTCAGAAGAGTGACTGGGACCCTTGGGCTGCTCGGGCAGTGCTCTTTACCATTCAGTACAGAATCAGTTGAACATTTTAATAAGCAGAATATCCGTCAGGGTGTGTTCCGGCTGAAAAGCAGCACTCCAAGACAGGATTGGGAGGAGCACAAAGGATGCCTGGGCACAGGGGGAGGTAGTGGGTAATGCTGGATATCAGAAAGCTGCCTGGGTGTAGTTTACTTTGAACTTGGGGGTTGTTCCTAAGGAATGAGTTATTAACAAGTCTTCGTTCTGTTTCCTAAAGGACTAAGAGATATAATGGGAAAAGCTCTAGCCTGCCCAGGATTTAAAGCAGTATAGAAATAAAAATAAATGTGTCTCAAGTGCCAGCCTAAAGGGAACCTAGGCTGGGCTCCAAGACTCCTGCATATCCAGTAGTTTTGTGTTGCTTGTACCATAACCTTACATACCTTTGTAAAACAAGCAAAAACCCAAATAAAGAAACAAAAACTTCACAACATGTCTTGCTTGATGTAATTTTGTAGAGGATTCACCACTAAGAATTGCAGCCACTTAGGAGAATAGTTCTCCACAGGTTATAGTGTAAAGCAGTCTTCTCAGACTTTAATAGGTGCACATATGGATCTCGTTAAAATGCAGATTGTGATTCAGGAGGTCTGAGGTGAGGCCTGACCTGCATTTCTAACAAGTTTTCAAGTGGTATGAATGGTGTTGGTTCATGAACCAGGCTTTGAGAAGCAAGGATAAAGCAGTGGTTTGCAACCTAAACTGCAGACAAGAAACACCTGGGGAGTTTTTACAACTCCTGAAGCCCAGACTTTACTCCAGATAAATTAAATCAGTACCCAGGCATCAGTATTTTTCAAAACGTCTGGGTGGTTCCTATTTTCAGCCAAGGTTGAGAACACCTGCTTTAAAGTGTAATGCTCCCCTATGAAACCCTGGAACAATTATCAAGGAAATACCATAGTCAAAGAGGAGAGCATCTAGTATTTTATCACCAATCCTAATCACCGTGTGAACAGTAAGAATATGAATACACATTTTTAGCTCACTGTTAATATCTGACTTATTACAATCCTTTTCTAATTTTGTTGAAAGTTATTTAACTATTACACAAGGTTTAATACATGTTAAAACTGTATTATACGCATGTAAATCAATGAAGTTAGAACACTCCCTCACATCATACACAAAAATAAAATGAAAATGGCTTAACTTAAATATGACATGACAACATAAAACTCCTAGAAGAGAACATAGGCAAAACATTTTCTGACATAAATCGTAGCAACGTTTTCTTAGGTCAGTCTTCCAAGGCAAAATAAATAAAGACAAAAGTAAGCAAATGGGACCTAATCAAATGTATAAGCTTTTGCACAGCAAAGGAAGCCATAAACAAAACGAAAAAACAACCTGCGGACTGGGAGAAAATATTTGCAAAGGATGCAACCGACAAGGGCTTAACTTCCAAAATATATAAACAGCTCATGGAACTTAGTAACAAAAAAAAACAAACTATCAAAAAATGGGCAGAAGATCTAAACAAGACATTTATCCAAAAAAGACATACATGGCCAACAGGCACATGAAAAGATGCTCAATATGGCTAATTATTAGAGAAATGCAAATCAAAACTACAATGAGGGACTTCCCTGGTGGTGCAGTAGTTAAGACTCTGTGCTCCAAATGCAGGGGGCCGGGGTTCAATCCCTGGTCAGGGAACTAGATCCCACATGCATGCCACACTAAGAGTATGCATGCCGCAACTAAGGAGCCCACGAGCCACCACTAAGACGCGGCGCAACCAAATGAATAAATAAATATTAAAAAAAAAAGTTGACTCGTGCCTTCATTTGGTCTGGTGTCAGATGGTTATGTGCTAAATAAATACCGTGTGAGAAGTATCCTGAGAAAAGAAATACCTTTCTTTGTTTGAAGGCTGATAATGAGACCTCACTTACTTACTTGGCTGTACTCTCACGCTTCTGGCCATAGGTTGGATCAGTCAAAAACCGAGTTTCTTGTTTACATCCAAGCAAATCTCCAACTAGTGTAGTTGATGGAACAAATATTCATAGTCATGAGGGTACAGAAGCATCCCACTGATTCGATTTTAGGGTTAGGAAAGGCTTCAAGTTTAGGTAAAAAATGATAAAGCACTTATGCAGTCTTCTTTTTTGGGGTTTCCATAGAAAAGCAGATCTCAAAAACTGATGTTATTTTATTAGACTAAATGCGCGTGATTAAAATTAGATGATAAATACAAATAGCTGAAAACAGCGTTAAATACAGCTTTTATAACCTAAGTTTTACCATTTGATATAAGCATGGCTGCACTTCTGAATATTTTTGTGAGTTGGGCATCAGATGGCGCTCACCCTTACTAAAAGCCTGAGCAGTGACAGAATATTGACAGGCATTTCGAAATCCGGCCCTGACGCCAAGCAATTGTGCTTTTCGGTCAAGTCTCTTTTTAAGTTTCGGTTTCTTCATCTGTCAAGTGGGGGTGGGAACAGCAGATGGATTTCCAATCCCATAGCGTCTTTGATTCTTCGACTACAGCGGTGGCACAGACTGGCTGCTGCTACCGCTGGCTGAAATCGCCAGGAGATTTAGATAAGTCAGGGTGGGAAGGCGTGACAGAGGTAGACAGTGTGCGTTCCCGGCTGGAAGGCAGAAGACCGCTTTCGGTGTTTCAACCGCTCACATTACGTGGGCGGCGGGGCAGAAACTCCTTAACCGCGTGGTGCCTCCATTTCCCTGGGGTGTCCCAGCACAAGGTTACAGAATTCCAGCAAAATCGACTTTCAAGGATAAAAGCGCGGGTCCTACGAAGCATACTTATGCAAGCACGTTGGGAACGCGGGAGGACAGTACCAACTTAATTCTTTCTCAACTAAACGCCTGAAAACAACTTCCGCCCAGCGGGTCTCAGGTCTGGGAAGTGCTGCCCGGGAGGTCACGTGGGACCAAGCTGTTCTTTCGCTAGGACTCCGTCGTCACCTCATGTAGGTTGTTCCATCTAAGCCGGGGGTAAACCTTCTCTATTACAGGAACGAGAAAAGCCCAGCCGCGCCCTGTGTGGAAACCTGAGGGCAAATAAAAGAGTTTCCTGTGTCTAGGCAGTTTCTTCGCTTGGCCAGTACAGTCGCTTTGGGGAAGATCTTCCCTGTTTCCTCTCGATTCCTCTGTTCCCCCTTCCGTAGGATTCCAGTTGGTATCGCCGGCTCCCCGCCTCCGCACGCCGCCCTCACGTGACACCGGCGTGCTCCCGCGGGGGGAGCGGGGTCTGAGAGGCGGCGCCGCAGGGGACGGAGGGACTGGCGCGACGTTGGGCGTCCTAGCTTTTGCTCCAAGGCCAGCGAGGAGGACGCGATGTCGGGGCTCTTTCGCCCGCTGCTTTTGGCCGCTGCCTGCCTGGCCGCGCTTTGCGTGATAACCGCAGCTCAGAACACCACCCTGGCCCCGAACATGACTACACCTTCGGTTCTACCGACCACCACCACGACAGCGCCGGTGACGCCGCCGATCCTCCCGACGGTCACCACTCCAGCACCAGGTGGGCGCCGGCCCAACGGGCTTTCTGCTCTCGCTCCCCCGCCGGCCATCTCCCTGCCGGTGGTGCGCGCGGGGCCGGGGCGGGCCGCGGTCCGGCAACATGGCGGCCCGTCCGAGTCCGGCCGTGGACGGGCCGAGGTGGCCGCGGTTGGGGATCGCCCCGGGGGGAAGGGGCGGCTGAGCCTTGGGGCCGTTGGGCTGTTTCCGGCCCAACAGTGTCCTGCCCGCCCGGAAGTGTTGTTAAAAGTGCCTCGTAACCTCCATTCTCACTTCAGGCTCCGAAGAGGGGACGTGGCTTTCTTTCGTGGTGGCGGCGGTGAGGTTGAATATGGGGCGAGGCTACCGCCTCCAAAGTTGGCGATGAGACCGAACTACCTCTCTCTGGGGTTAGTCGTTTGTCCACCCAGGTCTTCTTTTCGAAGGGAGGCTTCTCCCGAAGTTGGCGAAAGAAGGAGACACTGCAAACTAATGCTCGCTGGTGTCTCAGCCCTAGGTCTGAAAAAATAAGTCGTTTGAGATTTAATTACCTCGGCTTTGCGGATAGGTATGGGATATATTTGAGGCTTGAGCATGTAATTAATTACAATTGTGCACTCCGTGCTGTGTGCAAAGGAGAAAAAGTACCCATTCGTGTACCCGGTGCTTCGCATGTATCTGTTAGTATTTTAGGCTAAACTAGAAGGTAAGTGGTGAAACCTAGGAGGTGGATGGAGATAAAGTAACTCCGCCAGAACCGTATGTTTAGTAGATTGTGAGGCTGAGATTGGAACCCAGGTTTGTCTTTCTTCTAAAACTAGATCAGGACCTTTTGTTAAGCTCTGCAGTCGATTTGGAGACTGGTTGAGGCATACACTGAATCTTACAGCAGAAATTGTCAATGCCGTGACAACACGCACGAGAGGAGGGAAGATAAATTTTAAATTAAGGTGAAGAACCTTAGATATTTAAAATTTGCAGTCTAGTGTGATTGGTTTTCCTAGTTAATATTGGGTAAGGAGTAACTGGCATATAGACCGAAGACTTGAAGTGTAAGAATTTTTACCTTTTTTTTTTTAGGCCGATCACGTTGTTTTACAATATCTTCTCTAGTTTTTGTATTTTGTAGGAGTTTAATGACATATATATTACACTTAATGTTATTTGTTAAATTTAGAAAGATGTAATGATAAAATTCAAACATCTTTTAATGAAGAAAGGAAATTGCAGTACAATACTGGAGATTCTAACCGCGCTATTTCTAAGGTGATAGAGCAGAATTTGTTTTCTGCTTATTTGGTAGTTTCCTCCTAGAATTTTTTTTTGGGGGGGGTTGGGGTGGGGTGTGTGTGTGTTTAAAGAGAGGCTTGGAAATATGTTAATTGCATTTGTGTAATTGAAATGAGTGCAAAGGAGATGATTTGTGTTTTATGTAAAGTGGTGGTTGGATAAACTGCAGCCTGAAAGGCAGCAAGTTTAGTTCATTGTAAATAACGTACACTGTGCTACCCAAATATTCATCATCAAGCACAGAAGATTTTAAACAACTAGCATTTTTCATGTGTATACAAACCTCAGAAGAACTTATTTCTACTTTGTGACTCCCTGCCATTCCCCAAAGGGTACGGTATATGTCCCAATCTCTGATAAATATTGAAATGCAATGTGTTTGTGCAGAACTATTTTTTAGGCACGGGGAAAGCAAATGAGATTGTTTTTTGGAGGCATCTAGCTTCTAGGAAAATGTATAGAGCCTAACTCTATAGTCCATTTGTTTGTCCAGACTTTGAATTGTAGTTAGCTGCCTTTGATGTCCTGTCTCAGAGCCGTTTGGCTTAAATTATTGACAAAGACCTTGCTAACTTGTTAAATTATGTGACTGTAGCCCCCTCCAGATGTGTTGTCTCTTATCCTCCCGTCATGGAAAACCCCGGAAAGAGTGGACCATTTATGAATTACCGATCTCAGATTTTTCAGGATAGGCATCATCAGAGCTTGGGTTCAACCTGTAATAAATCTTTATTACTATTAAAAATTCCAGTTCACATCTGATGTTTTGGGGCAGTGATTTCCTTGTGTATAGTGTTGGCCTCGCAACAGCCTTTTTTCCAGTATTTTTCTTTTTTAAAGAACACTCAAGAAACTGAGTGTCTGAAATAGTTGCTGTGCAAAAAGGGGTTGTTTAGATAGGTACCAAGAAATATTGAGCGTTCCCACTAGCTTGTGCTTTTCCCCCCCCTTTCTCTTGAGTTGACTTCTGGCTTCATAAGTTTTTTATAATGATAGGAATTTTTTAGTAAGCCACTTTATAGTGTTTTTTTTTCCTGTGTGTGGTTTTAAAAGAACACATAAGATCTACCCTCTTAATAGATTTTTAAGTGTACTGTACAGTATTAACTATAAGCACAGAAGATCTCCAGAATTTTTCATCTTGCTTGAAGCTTTATACTCATTGAACAGCAAACCTCCATTTCCCCTCTCCCAGCTCCTGGCAACCACCATTTTACTTTCTGCTTCAGACTTTGACCATTTTAGATACTTTATATAAGTGGAATCATGCAGTATTTGTTCTTCTGTGACTGGCTATTTTCACTTAGCATAATGTCCTCAAGGTTCATCCATATTGTAGTGTATAACAGGATTTCTTTTTTTTAATGGCTGAATAGTATTCCCTTGTATGTGTATAACACATTTATCCATTCATCTGTGGATGGGTTATACAGTTGTGCCATTTTCTTGAAATAGTAAGTCTGGTACTGTATGTAATACTTGCTGTTGTTTAAAAACGGTAACTAGTACAAACTTAAGATACCAATTAATTGATTTTATGTATTTTAACCCCCACTCCTACCCCCAGAAATCTGTGAAAGCCGCAACAGCTGTGTTTCCTGTTTTGATGCTAATGCTGCTAACACTACCTGCTTTTGGATAGAATGTAAAGGTAAGAAACTTTGGGATTGCTTTAATTTTGAGAGTTCAATATTGTTTTGTTCTAACATTTAAAAAATACTGCAAGGTATTCTTGAACACTTGAAACTTATGTAAAACATTTGGGATGGTGTGCATTACTTATTTTGCAAATCAAATACTTTTCCTTTCAACTTTAACCAATTGGTTAATACTCTCCCTAAAATCTTTTGTTGTCTCCCATGCTCCCCCCCTTTAATTTCTTAGACTTGATAATTAAGGCTAGATAGCTTTAAAAGGAAGAGAAATTTTAGACCTTTGTGGTTAGGTTAAGTGTACTAGTACACTGAAATTAGCTGTGAGAGAAAGCTGTGGGATTTTCCCCTGAAAACTGTTCCCCGGTAAAATGTTTGAGGCATTTATCTTCTGTAGATGTCCTACTAGATGAACTATAAAGAGACCTTATGAAGCATTGTTGGATACTTAGATATGGGAGAATGAGGTGGGAAAAGAGTGACTTTTTTTGTGCTTTTGTTAAGTTTTCAAGTTGTCTTTAATTTGATTGAGGGATAAAGAGCTAGATGGAGATAGTTTGAAATGCCAATAAGGTTTTTGTTAGAACCACCGGATAACAGCATAAATTATTCTGTTTTCTTAAGGTAAGATGGTTGCATTTTTTTCTTATCAGTAAAACAATTTCTCAGGTTTTTTGTTTTATATATAAAGAAAAACCCAAAGCTACATGTTAAGCTTTTTATTCTTCATTGAAAAATTGAAGGGTTCTGGAAATATGTCACTACATAACAAAGTTTAAAAGCCTCTATTAAAATTAAGGTATTAGCTTAAGTTTGAATTAACTTCTTTGTTTTATAAGGGTCACTTTTCTTTAGGTGATAAAATGGAATTTAAGAGTGTGCCCCTCCCCTCTTGTATGGCAGAGTTGGCAAGTTTTGGAGATTGAATGCCTGCCTTACTGTAGGATATGTTGGGGAAGGCTTTCCCTTGCTGGTGTTACTAGTCTTCCCATCCAGGAAAGTGGTTTTAGAAAATGTAGAAGACTAAAGCAGAGATCTGGAACAGAGATCCCACTGCTGCTATGGGACACCTCTCATGTTTACTAAGCCTTTATTAGTTTCTAAGGACTTCTCCCTACTGACTCAGCCCTCTTGTGGATTCTAGCACCCTTCCTGGTATAGTACCACAATTCTGATATATACGTTTCTGACTTACCTGTTAAGTATATTCATGTGGATTTTAAAAGGATGTTTGGAGAGATCCTGTGTAATATGTCTCCAACAAGGGGAAAAAGATAATAAAATATTTTGTTTATCTGTGGACTTCTAGAGAGTTTATACCTGAGTTCGATTTTTGGAAGCAACTCTGGAGCATAGTAACAAAGTCAAAGATAATGTGAATAATTGATGCTCTTCCCGTCCCCTTCCAATAACAGGTAAAAGCTACTGTTCAGATAATTCAACAGTTAGTGATTGCAAGGTGGTGAACAGCACCGAATTCTGTACTGGTAAGTATTCACATTGGCGTCTGGGAAAAGTGGCCACAAAGAGGTAAGGAAGATCATTGCCTCAGGAAGCCTTATTTCAATATTTGGTTTAAAACATTTCCATAATTCTAATCTCATTACAAACTTGGATCTGAATAGTATATTCATATTGATTGCTGAAAGGACAGTGTTTTGAAGTTTGATTTAGTCATTTGCTGGTACATATTGTGGAGTGCTGTAGGTACAGATATCTCCTCCTCTATGTTTTTTTTTTTTTAACTCTTGCAGATACTCACTGTATTTTACACCCTCTCTTTATTTGCATTTTACAGGCCTGGACAACCTTGTTCTGGCACTTTCTTGATTATGGTACTGGTGATTATCACAGTCTGGATCATAGTTTGTGCTATGATTAAATGAATCCTCTCTGTATTCCTCCATTTTCTGTACTTTGGTTTGGGGAACTTGATTATTTAACCTTTACTCTGCCCAAGAAATAGTTTTTAAAAATACCTAGATGAAAACTGATTTTTCTAACAAGATTATAAATTAATTGGAAAGTCAAACTCCTAATTTGGTGTGTAGATAATAAATAGAATAAAAGATTTTTCTGGAGTGTGTCAGTAACCTTGAAAGACTACCTGTAACTGTTTAATTTTGGTAGGGGTTTCCCCATTCCTCTAGCCTCCCCCCATCCCAACTTGAACTTTGTAACTGAAACTTTCATTAGTATGAGATCAGTTATACCCAATGTAGAGTCCATAATATGGTTTAGGTGATAAATGAACAAACAGTTTTAATATTTATTTTAATGTGTGTGTACCTGTGATTTTATGATAATATTGTTTAGAAGTAAGATTAAGTATAGAATTTTAAAATACATTGAAGAAAAACAATAAGTAATTCTACTCATTTGATGATGTATCAGTTAGAATTAGTTTCGGCTATCAAGGACATAAAACCCCAAATTAAAATGGTTTAATTGATAGATTAATTTGGCTCTCATGTAAAGGAAATCTGGGTTTCAGTGTAGCTAGAGGGCTAGAGAGGCATCTCTACAACCATTAGAGACCCAGGCTCCTTCTAGGTTTTTACTGTGTCATTCCTCAGAAATGGCTTTGACCTTATTCTCCAAGGTGAATGCTTATGTTCCAGCCATCAAAATGGTTTTCCTGCCAACAGGAAGAGGAAGGGAAAGTGAGAGACCCCTACCTTACAGATACTTCCTAGCAGTTGCACATGGCTACCTAGCTGCAGGGGAGGCTAAGAAATGTCTTTGCATGGGAGGGTGTCACTAAAAATTGGTGCTATTTCTAAAGAAGGGAAGGCCAGTATTGGGACAGAGCAACTGTCTATTCCATATGTGGCACTTAAATGAAAACATTGTGAAAGTGGTACTCAGATGACTGCAGGTTGGGAAATAGTGTTACAGATTGTGATATTTTAGACAGCTTTGACTTACATGTCTGTTTGTTTTTTTAAATAGTGCCCACTGCCATACCGTTGCCAACCAATTCTACAGGTAATACAAGATAATTGACTCTTTTCCCCCTCCTTTGAAGGTTTCTAAGCTTTTTTTGATGAATAACTTTAGTAATTAAATATCTAAAAATCAGTATGATTTTAAAAATGAGTAGACGTAGTCTTGGACTACAGTAATTACATTAACATGTACTATTTGTGACAGTGAAACATAACTATAGTGTTTCACGTTCATTGAATTTGAGCAGATTTGCCATAGCTTTGTACGTTGAGTCTGCAAACAGCTTTTTGTGCATTTTGTGGAACTCTAAGGAAATATAGAAGCCTAAAGGAAATTAATTCTCATCATCCATAGGTACGCCAAAAGGTTTTCAGTTCTTCCAGACTTTCTCTTTGTGTATCTAAATAAATATACTTATTAGGAAATTGGATGATATGCCCATGCAGGTTTGAATTGTTCTCCCTCTTAACTGCACACGTTGTTGTATGCACTTTACCCATCTACTCTTGGTTGGATAGTTAGGTCATCTTTCATTCTTCATACAGTGAATATCTTATAGGAAAGTATTTGCTGTCATCTCTGGTAGGATTGATTCAAACAGCATTCTGTGTCAGAGGATATGATTATCTTAAGACTCTTAATACTGATTGCTTTCCAGAAAGATGTGCTTTTCATTCCTATCAACAACTGGAAAGTTTTTTACCACATCTTCAACAGCATTAAATAATATCTCCTTGTAAAAATCTTTACCAATTTGATAGTAAGAGTAAATAATTAAAAAACATCTTCTCCAGGACAAGTACTAGGCTAGAAGATAGGAATATAGGAACACAAGTAAGATAGTATTTTGTCTATTGTAGGAACTATAAAGGTCGGGAAGCACAGTGTGTTGGGGGATTTGTAGGAACGTGTGTGTGTTGAGTAATATGTGGTGACAGCTTCCTGGAGATGTTGACTGAGTCTTGAAATTACACTGGTAAAATCCGAGGGGAACTTCCCAAGTGGAGCAGGCTGGTTAGGTCATGTGAAGGAGAGGTAAAAGCATATAATGAAGTCAGGGAATTGGCATTTGGAGTGTCCAGTACAAGGCGAGAACAAGTTAAGCTGGACAGTCAACAGGTCAAGAGCCAGATTGGGAAGTGCCATTGTATACTTTGCTGGTGGGTTTGAAGCATGATGAGATTTGCATTTTAATAAAATCACTTACTTTAACTATGTAGAGAGGTGATTGGAAAGAGGCAAGAGTGAACACAGATGAGATATGCTATTGTAGTAATTCTAGAGAACTAATAGCAGAGGAGTTGCAGATGTATGCAAACTGGCTTAGGAAGTAGAAAGGAAAGCACTTGATGATCAAGGTGATGGGAGAACTCTGCTACACAGCACAGATAAGTTAACCATTGTAGGCAGTGGTAGAGTCCACTGGAGCAGCCTTGAGAGAGAACAGGGCTTGAGGACCAAGCTCTTGGGAACAGTAATGTCTAAGAGGTGGGAAGAGGACTGGATAAGAAACTGAGTAGAGATGGGCAGAGAAGTAAGCCCAGAGACATGTGCCTAAGAAAACCTGTGTTTGTGTGTGTATGTGTTTTAAGTGTAGTTTTTCAGAGGAAAAAGTAGTCAAATGGTGTAAAAAGGCTAAGAACTAATTTTGAAAGACTTTGGCAGTGTTGAGCTAGCTTGTACCAGCTTCTGCTGGCACAGCTCATCCCCCCTGTACCTTCAGTGATACTATGTTGGCAGCTTGAATTAATGGCTACAATGGGAGTAGTCACTCCATGGAAATCTGCAAATTCTACAGAAAGTATTTTGGAGAGCAAACAGTGGTGTGCTGATAAAACCACCAGAAGTCATTGACAAGGAGGATGTGTTAAAAGTTGATGAAAGCAGAGATACTGAAAGAATATGGATTTCCAGAAGGTAGGATATGAACAGAGAGGGGCAGAGGAGGAAATAGTTTCCCCAAAACTATGGTGGGTTGCTTTTCATTTCTTCCTTACGAATCTTGATGTAGTTCTACTTGCTCCACACTGGGTTCTCCTGTGATCTCCTTGAGTGTCTTTTGTTTTCTCTCTTTGGTTCTGTGAAGTGGAAGTCAGTCAGAGCTTGCTTGCAGAAAATGCATCAATTGAGTGGTAATTAGTGGTTGAAGAGCAGCCTTTATATGGTCTCTTTCCATGTCAGCTGCTGAAGAGAGCAAGTGAGAAATAAAGGAACTGTTAAAGAAACGATGCAAGGAGAATCTGATTTATGTAGATAGGCTTTCAGTGAGGTTAATTATATAGTCTTCCACCAGTACAAATAATATGAGTATTATAAACATAAATAAAAATATTTATAGGTAACATAATATCTTACAGTAGAATGACTAAATTATATTAGAAATACAGTGGAAAATATATTAAGTAGATAACAAACTGTGTTAAGTAGTTCCAGTACAATTTTATTTTTTTGTTGTATACATGTCTAGAAAAATGGCCAGCAGGAAGTAACATGTTTCTCAGAATGATAGAATCACTTAAATGCTTCTACTGTATTTTCTAAATTTTCTATCACCAGTAGCAGCTTTTATAACCTATGAATTATTTTTTTAAATGAAAGGAACATAGGGTAGGTCAACAAGGTATTCCCTAAGTAGTGCCTGATTTTGAAATTTTTACCAGTGTAATACTTTGGTTAAAAGTAAAAATATGTAAATGTTTTGCCTATTTCAAAAAATGAATTATTTTTTAAAAGTGAGGGCAACTTTTACAAATACCCAAAAATTAAACCTCATAGCTCTGCCTTCATTGATTATGTAGTGGGCTTCTAGTGCTTCAGAGATTTAAACCAGTGCAGATTTCAAAATTAAAAAATATATATATATATATGTGTGTGTGTGTGTGTATATATATGTGTGTATATATATATATATATATATATATATAAATATATATATATAATTTACCATGTTCAGAGGGTGGTAGTGAGAAACAAATAGCAAATTTGCAAATTTTTCCCCTAATGTTGTCAGACAAAATTAGTATTTTAAGATTGAAAAGAATCTGATATATGTTTAATTTATGAAGTATATTTTTTGTTTCACAGAATGTATAAGCAACAAAAACTTTCAAGGGATTATGAGTCTTAAAATAACCATACCCTCTAATCTAGGAATTCTGTATAAGAATCAGTCCTATCAGAGATGAGATCAAATATTACCCTGTAAGATGTTCATAGCATGCAGAAATGAAAGGTGACCTAAATGTCCAGCCAAGAGCTGGACCGCGGTGCTTACAGTTAGAAAGGGGTACAAATAAATGTGTGTGAACATATCATAGCGTTTACTAATATCTATTAGTAGTATCGATACTATCAGAAGTCTCAATATAGTGCTTTAGTTCCTAAAATGTTTTTACATTCAAACTGATTCTTCCCATTAGTGCATTTCTTTAGAGACACTCATGCAGTATGGTAGAGAGAGCTTACCCTTGGGCTCTTAACATCATTTAGATGGGGAATTATGGCCTCAGGGCACCTGTTCTTTTAAATAAAATTTTTGGGAACACAGCCATGTCCATTCATTTGCTTGTTTTCTTTGACTGCTGGTGCATTACACAGTGCACAAAGTCTAAAATATTTACTGTCTGCCTCTTTAAGAAAAGTTTGCCAAGCCCTGGAAATGAAGAAGATAAGCAAATCTTGATACTTACATAGACTGAATTGTATTTGTTTCTTACCTGATTTATTAAAGTTAATAGTTTTTGTCTTGGAAGCAAGATTATTGGGAAAGAACTTGTAGTTCCCTCACCTAAATACTAATTCTTGCCCTTCTGTGTGTCTTTTTGCAACTTTATCCAGGTGTATACATAAATTTGTATACTTAGATATGTACATAGATGTTAACATAGATAGAAGTTTTTGATTGCTTAATGTTTTAAAATACACTTCAGAGCTAATATTTTGGATGCATAGATATGTTATTGAACCATTAACTGAGATTTGGCCTTTATTCTCTAAAAAATTTGAAAGCATGTTGAAGTGGTAGTAGTGTTTCTAAAAGATGCTAGATAATTGAGAAATTTAAATTTTTAATACATTTTGTTTACATTCCAGCTAAAACCACAACTCCGCCTTCCCCTTCTACAGCTTCCACCACAGCTACTACATCAGGTAATTGAGGTTTTTTTAAACTAACAGTGAGGTACGATGTGTGTGCTGTGTTGCCTTTTACTATTTCTGCTGTCACTGTCCAGTTTTATTCATGATTAGTTAAGAACTGAAAGTCATCTCTTGTATTTGGAGGACCAAGATAGTAGGCTGTTAAAGCAATAATGATAGGTTTGCTGAGAGTCCTCTTCTGGATTTTTAAAGTGTAATCACATTTGGCATGACATGTTAGAATTAAATGGTAATGGTTTTCCAAAACCCTTTTAGTACAACCTGTAGGTGAAATCTAATTTCTTATAACTTAAAAATTAAATACTGATTATTGTTAGGGATTCATTGTGTGCTGTATTAGACCATGGCAATTTGAGTGAAGGTAATATAGCCATCCTTTTTGCTGTGAAGGGTCTAAAAAGCCAAGATCACTACCAAATGTGCACCTCATTCATATTTCTTACCATTTCTTATATTCCTTTATAACCTTTGATAGTGTGTGTGAAAATTAACTTTTTATTAATTAATGATTTGACATGTTATTAACTAAATCATATTTAGGTTATGCCACAGGGCACTGTAGGTACACAGGTTAGGAACCCTTCCCTCCAGCCATATTTATAATACTGTTTTGATTCTCATGAATATTTTATGGTTTTTTTGATCCTTTTGGTTTCATTCTTGTGCTACCTTTCTCTAAATTGCAGCGAAGCCATTCTGTCTTCACAAGAAGAAATACAGAACAGTTGTAATTAATTTTAAAGCTGGCCAACTTATTCAGCCACAGGGACCAGTGTTTATTTGCTATTCCAGTTAAGAAAATAAACTTTATTTTAAATATAAAATTGTTGGGACTTCCCTGGTGGTCCAGTGGTTAAGAGTTCACACTTCCACTGCAGGGGACGTGGGTTGGATCCCTGGTCGGGGAACTAAGATCCTGTGTGCCGCGTGGCACAGCCAAAAATTTTAAAAAAAGAAATTGCTTTTTGTTAAAGTGGATGGTGCTCCACTTGAAACATTTTAGTCTCTGAAAAGGAATTTTTGTTTTGTTTCTTGTTGAAACATTTTACTGCCTGAAAAGGAATTTAACTTTTTGTGCTTTATTTCCTTTGGTAATACTTTTTCATTATAACATTTTCAGAGTAAAATTTAAATGTCTTTAATGGTGAGTTCTGCTTGTTAGAATTACAAATTGCAGATTTATAAGATTATAATTGTAGATTATTAAGATTACTTTTGTAATTTGAAAAACTAATCAAATATTTATTTACCTTATATATTTAGTAAAATGCAAAAGTTGTATAAATTTTAAACACAAATATTAATATTTACTCTAGCAATTAACTAAAATATGTAGTCTGAAGAAACCAGGTTTTAAAAGTGCTTGACATGTTCCCAGGGCATAATGTGCCAGGAGAGTCATTTTTGTCATTTTCATATTTGAAATTATATAGCAGCATTGACCATTTGATGTTGCTGGATAGAATGAAGAACGGGATTGATAAATGGTCGTCTTCCTCAATTAGGAAGCTGTAAAGACTTGACACAAGAGGAAATACTTTATAGAATTTAACACATGGCAAAAAAGAAGCTCAGGTGAGTCTTGAAATTATCATAGAGGATCATGAGACTTATTAAGTGTTGTTATTTCTTTCATTTAACAGGTACAACTAATACCACTTTAACTCCGACTTTACCACCTGCACGGAAGTCTACGTTTGATGCAGCCAGTTTTATTGGAGGAATTGTCCTTGTCTTGGGTGTGCAGGCTGTAATTTTCTTTCTCTATAAATTCTGCAAATCTAAAGAACGAAACTACCACACCCTGTAAACAGACCCGCTAAATTAACAAGGACTGGTGTGTAACTCACTGAAACCAAAATATTATCTTTCAAGATGTCCCACATGGAAGACGCTATTCTAGGATCTTTAATTTTTCAAAGGATGCATATAGGAGCATCGCCCCTGAAGAAAAATCAGTGAAATCTATTTGCTCAACGGGAATATGTAAAATATTCTGCATGAATCCTTGTGGCTGTCTTCTTTTATTTTAAATGGCTGCTGCTGTGGGATTATGTTCTCTCTTCTTGACATGCCAAATGTAACTCTGTAAGTGATGGAAAACATTGTCCTGCGCAGACAACCTCATGACTCTTTTGGCAATTTAAATGTAGTTATTTTAAAGCCTGAAAGCTGCATTTTTTCATCCTAACTCAGGATGTAGTTTAGTGACCAGAATTGAGAAGAATGTGCCAAATGAGCATCAGTCAGGTGGATTTGGGGCTATCGTTGCAAAAGTGGAATAAATTTATAAATTTAATATCCTTAGAGTAAAATTTTGTGCTTGATAAGTTATTTTTTCTACATTAGAAAAAAGATGCCACACAGGGAATTACATTCCAGATTTAAAGAAATGAATGGAAAGGATACAAAACATTAAAGTGTAGCAGGTTATTGTTCATACTTGTAAAGCACCTTATATCATTGAGAAAATAAAGAACAGTGCCTTAAAAGACAGACTGAAAGGTAGACTGTAACTTAAAATGTTGGTGATTTGTTCTTTCACATTAATGAAGGGAAAGGTTGGTCTGAGGATGTAACTGTTGATGTGAGCAGTAGTAAACCTGCTTTTAGATACCATACTGTTAGTATTTAATTGAAAACTTACCTACTTTATTTCAAGCCTGAGTAACTTAAAGGATGTTATACAAAGTCAAAAGCCTTCATCTATTGAATCTCCCAACGTTTTGCTTCTGGCTGTTAAAAAGTATAGAGATAAAGTTGATTTAATTATATTTTCCTTTGTACTTCAAAAAATTATCCTAACGTTGTACCTTAAAAGGATTTCCACGAAGCTTTCTGGAAAAGTAACTTCTGTAAGGCAAGAAAGAAGTTGTTTTAGAATCATTTATTAACTCTTTAAATGAGACAATCATTTTAAGTTTTGAGATGGCAAACGTGAGCAGTGTAATTTCATAAAAAATTTTAGTTGATCAGATTACTGTAGATTTTTAATGATGATTGCCCTGGATAAACAGCTTGTACTTTGTTTCCCCTTTTCCACCCTTTCTTCTTCTCAGTTTCAATTGCTGTAGTATAAGCATGCATACTTTGATTTCTTTAGCTTCCTTATGAAGCATTCGTTTCTTCAGGTTTAGAGGGATACTTCTTCCCTGCCTTTGACACATTGGATTAGTTCAGAGACTTAAATCAGTTTAAAATGAGCTTTTGCTTTTCTAGGTCATTAAGGTTTTTTGTTTTAGTTTCTTTAGCCTATAGTGGCTGTGTTTAGCACTTGGTTTTCAATATTTTATAGTAAGAAATGACAGGTTGCTTTGGTCCATTTCATAAGCCAAAATTCCTTACATTTAGATAAAGGTTCTTAAAATGAAGATTTACTGTTTCTTCTTTACTTGCTGGTACAGCTAAAGTTTGTTTTACTTGCACATTGGTACATATGCCTAATGTTTTCAAGTGCCTTAATTGTTTAAAATCTCTGGCTTCAAAGGTTTTTGGGGAAAGGTAGGCTTACCTCACATTTTTGTTTCCCTCAGTAGTAATATTTTAGGTACTTCACAAAAAATTTTATTATGGTGCCATGGCTATTAGTTTTTAGTGAGTGCTGTAAGATACAAGATTCAGTTGAAAATATACAGAATTTCCATTCTCCCAAAGTGGTAAAAATTAGCTACAATGGTATAATTGTCATTTACCTAGATAGGAATACCTTGCCACACATTAATGTTAACACTATAGCTACTTTTGTGAAAATATAGCTGATGAAGCCTCTCATCTGTAATTTTGAATACTGCTCTAACAGAAACATAATATGGAATTAGATTTTACAAAAAGAGCTCTTACAACAGAACTCACAGGCTTTTCCCCTCTTCCTTTAGCAGTTTAGTATCTTGAGCCATTAATAATTTTGGGGTTCTTTTTAATCCAGAAGGTATATAGAAACCTTTTCATTTTTCATCTGATTTGTTCATGCAGATTGTAGTTCTATTAAAAGCCCTTATTTTACCTTACAGATAGTTGTTGCACAGACACTGCTGTATTTAGAAATTTCTATTTCAGTTCATTAAAAACTGCAAAACCAATCTGTATCATGTACCAAACTGATTTTAAATAAATCTACATGTTTGTTGGATTAATCTGCTCTTTTTTATTAACTAAAGTATGTTTTTATATTTTGACTATGAAGTTTAATGCTAGTGAGTTTACCTTAGTCTGTTGGGGGATGGCTTGTCTCCTCAGTTTTTCATTGCTCCTGAAGACTAGCAGATAGTAGTAACTAAGGGACATATTCATCAGTGCAGAACAGAGCCTTAGAAATGATAGTTGGAGGGAGGACTTGATATGCCTGTGTGATTGACATGCAAGTTGATCTTCCTCAAATCATTAGAAATCATCTACTCGTGCTAGTTAAGCAAGTATTTATGAGAATACCATCTGTTGTTAGATATCTGAAAGCTTGTTTGTGACTTTCTGCCTTATTCAGATTGCATATAAAGTAAAATTGGGTTTCTGTTCAGAGTCTTTGGTATAAATATCTAGGACAAAGCCACATGCTGGTATGTGAAATCTGGTTCTTCAGGCCCATGTTTGGGGCAACATTATATTCTATATTAAATCACAGAACTTGGACTAAGAAGAGAGAATAAATACCTATCAGCCTTAAAACCCAGAAGAGTGTATTGAAGGCTCCCCAAAACATTGCTAGAGACAAATTGTTATTTTGATAAGAATGGTGTTCACAATAGGTTTTTTTCTTTTTCTTTTTTTATGATAATGAAAAGTCCTGTGTATTTCCCCATGTAGTTACCATCCCTGTGCTCTTCCTTAATTTGTGTAGATAACCTGTTGCTGGTGTTATCTACCTTCTGCCTAGAGGATGTCCTTTAACCTTGAACATTTCTAGTTTTGATGGTACAGGTATTGTTGATGAATTCTTCCAGTTTGTGTGTCTGCTTTCATTTTTGAAAGTTTTCATTGGATATAGAATTCTAGGTTGACATTTTTGCTTTTAGCCCTTTAATGATGTTGATCTAACATCTTCTCACATGCATCGTGTCCTATGAGAAATCTCATCTTTATCTTTTGTTCCTCAGTACGTGGTTTTTTTTTTCCTCTTTAAAGATTTTTCTCCTTATCACTCATTTTGAGCATTTTGATTGTGATGTGCTATGCTGTAGTTTTCTTTGTTTCTTGTGGTTGAGGTTTGTTGAGTTTCTTGGATCTGTGGTTCTTCATCACATTTGGAAAACTTTCAGCTATTTCGTCAGGTATCATTTTCTGTTCTTTCCATTCTCTGTGTGGGGGATTCTAATTACACAGAGGCTGCTAGAAGGTGACTTACAGTTTACCCATGCACTGTTTAGGTTTTTAAAAAATCTCTGTTTCATGTCAGATTATTACCATCTTCAAATTCACTAACAACTTCTGCTATGTCTAATCTGTTTTTAATCTTACCCAGTGTGTTTTTCATTTCAGGTGTCGTCACTTTTAAAAGTTCAATTTGGGTGTTTTTCATGTTTCTGCATGTTCCATCTTTACTTTTTGAACATATAACAGCTTTTAACATCTGGGTCAGTTTCTGTTCATTGACTGTTTTTTTCCCCTCATTATGGGTCATATTTTCCTACTTTGTAGGCTTGGTAGTTTTTTATTGCATGCCAGACATAAATTTTAACTTGTTGGATGCCAGTTGTTTTTGTTCTGGGACATAGTTGAAAACTATGAAAACAGTTGGATCTAACTTGGAAACAGTTGGATCCTTTCAGGTCTTGCTTTTTTAAGCTTTGTTAGGTGAGACCAGAGCATTTGTTCTAGGGCTAAATGTTCCCCAGTTCTGTGTACATAGTGCCTCCTGGATTAAGAGGCTTTCTGGTCTGGGCTAGTGGAAACAGCCTCTATTCCTAGACTTGTATGCGTTCCAGGTACTGTTTCCTCTAAACCTTTCCCCAGCCTTGGGTAGTTTCCTCATGTACATGTGCTGACCAATACATTGCTGAATACTTGAGGGGAGGGGTGCCCTCTGCAAATCTCTGGAGTTCCACTTTGTGTAGTTCTCTCCTCCCTGGTCCTCTGCCCTGGAAACTCCATCTCCCTTCGTCTCCCTTAACTTTCAGCTCCATCTCCTCAACTCAGGAAGTCCACTGAGCTCTGCCTGGTGGTTTCCTTCCTGCATCATGGCTTAGAAATTCAAGGCAGTAAGCTGGGTCGGTGGTTTTCTTTCCTTCAGGGATCACTATCCTCCTTTGCCTAAAGTCCAATGTATTGAAAACCACTGTTTAATGTGTTTTGTCTAGTTTTTCATTTGTTTCAGGGTATATCCAGTCTCTTATTTCATCTTGGCCAGAAGAAAAAGTTTGAGATAGGATTTTAGTCTTAATTTTTAATTATTTAAGTAATAAATAATTTTTTTTTTCTTGAACTATTACAGGTGAAGTCTGCTTTGACCATCCCTAGCCCCTTCCCCTTCCTTGCCCTCCTCCACTTTCCAGAGGTAATTACTAGAATTGGTTTGGTGTTAAACTCTTCCCCTCAGCAATTTATATACACATAACTAAATGTACACTTAAAAAAATATATGATGTGGATTTTTATTTTAACATTATCCTGCAACTTTTTTCCACTCATTAGCTATACCAAATTCTTAAATTCTCTGTTGGTATATGTAGTGTGAATATTGTAAGTATTTACCTATTGAAGCACAATTAGGTTGTTTGTAATTTGTAGTTTTTACTGTTTTCTAAAGAATATCTTTGTACCTGTCACCTTGTTTATGTATGAATATTTCTCTAGAGTAAACATGGAGAAGTGGACACCTATGTCACAGGGTTTCCACTTTAAAAATTTTAACACACTGAGATTGCCTTCCAGTCCCCACCAGCAGATATCAGAATGTTTTCTGTATCCTTACCACTTGATATTGGCAAAGTTAAATTTTAATATTCCGGTAAGTAGAATGATTTATTTGGTTACTATAATTAATTTGTACTTCCTCTGTGAATTGCCTGTTTTTGTTTTTTTTTTTTTTTGCGGTACGTGGGCCTCTCACTGCTGTGGCCTCCCCCCGTTGCGGAGCACAGGCTCCGGACGCGCAGGCCCAGCGGCCATGGCTCACGGGCCTAGCCGCTCCGCGGCATGTGGGATCTTCCCGGACTGGGGCATGAACCCGTGTCCCCTGCATCGGCAGGCAGACTCTCAACCACTGCACCACCAGGGAAGCCCTGCCTGTTTTTTTATCATCTTAACATTTTGTAGATTTTTTTAATCTTAAAATATGCTGGGTGCTAACCCATAGTCAGTGGACTTTCTTC